GCGGCGAGCGGCCAAGGCGGAAGGGGGCTGGGCATGCCCGTTGGCGCGGCCCGCGATCGATCCCGACGACAGGGCGGCAGGAATGCTGGCGGCGGCGGCACCAGCACCAGCCACGGCGGCGGCACCTGCGGGCGTGATGACGGAGCCGGGCGAGGACCCCATCGTCTCGCGGACCTCGCGCAGCGCCTTGCGCTTGCGGGTGTTGTCGGCGGCGGCCTCCTTGAGCGCGGCCTCCATCTCGGCATGCTGCTGGGCCAGCACCCGCATGTTTTCCTCCCACAGGTGCTTGACGGTGAGCTCGCGCTCGTAGCGCTTCTGCATGTACGACTCGCGGTCCGACACCATCTGCTGGTACTGCAGCACAAGCTGGTTGGTGCTGCGCAGCGCCGACGTGAGCGCCGAGTGGATGCTGTCCGACGAGCTGAGGTTCGACGACAGGCTGGCGCGGCTGTTGCGGATCGAGGCCGAGGCCTTGCGCGACGAGCTGCTGCTCCGCGTGGCACCGTCGTCGAGCGTCGGGCGGTCGGAGGAGGTGCCGAGCGTGGAAAGAAGCGAGTCGGCCAGCCTCTGGCTCAGCTCGGCCTGCGTCCGGAGCGACTCGGCCACCAGCTGGAACTCGCCCTCGTGCGGCGCCGCCCCAGACCTGGCGCCGTCCTCGTCGCCCGTCGAGTCCTGGTCGTCGCGCTCCTCGGTCGAGAACCGGCTGAGCAGGCTCGGGCTCCGGTTGGCCAGCGTCAGGCTGTGCTCGCTCGATGGGCCAGATGAGCTCTGCTGCGTGGAGGGCATCTTGGCCGAGAGCAGGTTCCGTGGTCCGGCGCCGTTGGACGCCTGCCGGCTCAGAGGCTGGGCGCCGACGAAGCTCGACGCAGACGACGTGAGCGGCGTCACGCCTGCCACGGGACCGGGCGTGCCCGCGACGGCGCTGGTGCCCGTGGTCGTCAGCGACGACGTCGAGGGCGAGCGGTGGTTGTACATGCCGCCCTCGGCACGGCTCGGCGTCCGCTCCAGCTCAAAGTACTCCTTGGTCTGCTGGAGCACCTGCACCCAGCGGGCGCGCTCGACCGGGTGGGTGCCGCGGAGATAGAGCTTCGAGGGGCCCTTGCCCGTCTCGCTGATAATCTCGAGCCGGTGCTTGTCGTTGCTGTCGGCGCGGATCTTGGCAAAGCGCATGTTGATGGCGCCACGCGTCTGCTTGCCCTCGTCGTCCTGCGAGTGGTAGTAGGACAGGATGCCGTTCTCGAGAACAAACCAACGCGTCTTGTAGCCACTGGCGATATTCGTCCACTTGCCCATGTATCCTTTGAACGACGGGGGCTGTCCGGGGATGCCCTGCGACTGGCGTGCGGCGTCGGCGTTGGTGAGCTGGCGGAGCAGCGCCTTGACCTTTTCGTCGCGGGTCATGTCGTTGACGCGCTTGCCGCGCCGATCGCGCGCAAACACGTCGGCGCCCTTGCGGACCGCCGTCTCGATCATGCGCGTGTGGTTGCGGCGGACGGCCTCGTGGAGGAGCGTCGTGCCGCCCACGCTCTTGGCGTTGAGGTCGATGGCAGAGGATCTCGGCTTGTCCAGCAGCGTGTAGAGCCTCTGCTCGGCATCGGGCGAGCCCTTTTCGTACGCATCGAGCAGCTCGACGTAGTGGGCGTTGAGCTGGGCTCGCGAGACTGCAGGGCGGTCGGGCAAGGGCAACAAAGAAGAGGGGTCAGGGTGTCAGGCTCTCGTTCGCCCGGAGTGGATCTCCAGCGCAAGTAGCTGCAGCACGGGCCCTCGCCACGCCGTGTGCGTACCCTCGACAGCGACAGGCAGTCGAGCCGGCCTCTGACGGATCACTCACCTTGGATCAGCTGCGCCGTCTCGGGCGTCTTGGCCACGTCGAGCGGGTCCTTGGCCTGGAAGTTGCGCTTCGTGTCGTCGATATCCTCCTGGCGAAGGAGGAGCTCGACGACATCGTCCCGCCCGGCGGCCGAGGCGAGGTGGAGCGCGGTGTTGCCGTGCTGATTCTCAATGGCGTTGACATTGACGCTCTTGTAGTCGAGGCAGAGCTCGACGACGCTCGTCTCTGCGCACCGCACGGCCAGGTGGAGCGGACTCGTGTTTTCATAATGCTTTCCGCCCTCGGGCTTGGCGGCGCTCAGGAAAGGATGGAGAGCGGCGCGATCTCCCTTTCTCAGCGCCTCGAGCAGCTTGACGCTGTAGACGGCGTCGGCGACTGTGGCGGGTCGGTCGGTGGGCAGAGTCGGGAGCGGTGGCACGGGAGGAACGGGCGGCACCGGCGGCACGTGCGACGGCGTTCGGGCGAGGTGGGAAAAGTCGGGGCGGTCGTTGTTGTTGCCGAGCGAGAGGCGGCGACCGATGTTGGAGAGCGAGGTTTTGGTGCGCAGCGTCAGTTTCGAAGTGCGGGAGGACGACGACGACGAGGCAGCGGCGCCGGCGGTGGTGTTGGATCGATCGAGGGGCGAAGGTCGGTAGTCGAGCGAAGTCGTGGATGCAGACATGGACGAAGGCATGACGCCGAGCGAGGCCGAAGGGTGGTGTTGGCGTTGCCGATAGGGGCGGTCGGCCGAGGCGGTGGCGATGGCGGTCGGATCGTCGAAGTTCATCGTTTCGGATGGCGGGGTATGACCATGCCGGGTTGTATTTGAACGCAAGCAGACCGACGTCGCACGTCGTGGCGATGTAACGTGGAGGCAAGCAAGATCGGCAAGAGGTCGAAGTCGAGTCGGCGCAGAGAGTCAGAGAGGGGTAAATCGGACGGAGGTGTCGTCGAGGTCGGGTGCAGAGATGAGCCAGGAGGAGCGAGGGGAGAGTGGGTGAGGAGGAGTGGGCAGCAGCGAGGGGGGCCAAGGTCGACGATGGCGACGGCGACGGCGACGGAGTGAATTGTCCGGCAGATGGGTCGTGAGAGGCAGTTGTCCGATGGCGGAAACGGGGGGGGCAAAGTCGAGAGTGGGTTGGGCGTGGGTGGACGTCAGAGTGCGGTCTCAAAAGGGGGCCAGGCCAGGCTGGCCAGGTTTGGAAATTCGTCCCTGTGCACGGCCCGAGACGCCGACACGGGAGTCGACCCCCCAGCAGGCAGGCCACAGCCAAACCGCTGGCTGGCTGGCTGGCTGGCTGGCTGGCTGCTGCAGCTTGGGCCCCGCCCGGCGCCTGGCCAAACAAGCAAGCTGGTGGGCCCTCTGACCTTTCCCAGCTTCCTTCTCATCTGCCCTCGATGCCCTGCCACGCCGGGATGGATCCCCTCTAAGGCCTCGTTCTCGCCCGCGCGACGCCTACGCTGTCGCGTTGAACGTCGAAGCTGGACCATGCGTGCCAAACATGATTTCAGCAGGGCTGAGGTCCTCGGGCGGCTCCACGACGCCGGCTCGGATCCCTCCGACAGACTGCGCCAGACGAAGACGGAGAGCGGAATCGCCGTCCGGAGCCAGACCGTGGCGGGAGCCCACCCAAATAGATCGAGGCCACTCCGCAACAACAACGACTGCGAGTCGAAGCCAATGATGTCGCCGTCCAAGAGCCTCCAGCTAGCCAACGCCCGGCAACTCACCTTCAGAATTGGGCAGGCTCATGGCAGCGGCGGCCGGGATCGGGTCTGCGGCGGCAGTGCTGTCCGCGCCGTTCATGGCTGATCCGTCGGTCCGATGGTGGGCTTCGTCGCTGCTCGTTGGCGAGTGTCAGATCGAAGCAGGTGGATCTAGCGTCGAGCCCTGCTTCCCTACTTCAAACAGTGCGTGTCTCCAGGAGCCGCAGTCCGATGCACGGCCGAGATCGGTGTCGGAAGCCTTTGTTCTGCGATGTCGGGCGCTCGGATCCCTTTTGTGGTGGGGTCGAGCGTCGGTACGGTTCCGGCGGCCACTTGCCAAGCAATCGAAGTCGATTTGCAAAGGACGAATCGGGCCGCGCCAAGGTGGCAAGCAGAACCTAGGCGGTCGTGCTGGGCGGTCCGTGGAGATGGGCGTGGATCGCGTCGGTCAGAAGGATTGACGGAATGGGGCGAGGGATGGGGAATGGGACCGCAGTCGTCTGGCGGGTAGACGTGGTCCGGCAGGATACGCGCGATGGTGTAGGTCGAAGCAAGAGGTAGGAGCGTGGTCGGGTGGTGAGGATGGAGATGGGCGGGTCGAGGCAGTCGCCAAGCAGGTGGCTTCGCTGATGAAGCGTGGCGGGCTTCATACGGGGGCTGCCGTCCTCGAGTCTGGGCTGGCCTGCAGGACACGCAGGCAGGCAGGTCGCCCCTCTGTCCGCTCTCACACACACAACGACTCTCGACTCTCTCTCTCGCTTCCCTCGGCGACGGATGCGCGGAAGATGCGGACAGAGAGGCCGAACCTGCAGCCGTCCTGCCGGGGACGAGTAGTTGGCTAGCTCTGATCTAGCTCTGGCGCGCTCCGGGCCCTCTGGCCAGCAATGACGCGCGCTTCGAACGCCGCTCGGCCAGGCCTGGCTCTGGCCTGCGTCGCCCGCCTGCCGCGCCGCTTTCAGGCGCTGACGTCTTGGGCCAAATCCACGCAGCCCGGCCTAGCTTGAGCTCACCGGCGCCGCCCCCGCTTGGTTCATGCTCGCTTCCCTCGCCCATGGACCCTGGCATCCCTCGACGCCGCGCTCTTCCTTCTTGACGACCTGGCGCGAGCTCACCTTCTGCCATCGACCACCACCACCACCACCACCATCATGCGCCGTCGCCGGAGCCTCCTGCCTGTTCGAGCAAAGCGACATGATATGCTCGACCGCAGCAAGACCACTGGTGGACGCGTCAGAGGGCGGGGCGAGGCGGCACGACCATGGGAACTTCGGCGCTCATCGAGTTGGCTAGAGAGAGCTCGCTCGACCGACCATTCATCATGACCACAGGCTGGCATGGGCGAACGATGGCCGGACGGACAACCTTTATTCTCAGTCTCTGGATCTCTTTTCTACGAAACGGCCGGTACGCAAGCTGTGACGACAAGCTCAGTAGCACTGGACGAAGCCGTTCCTGGTCGGGGCTCCCGTGTGGCTGCGGGGCGTTCGCAAAGGGGACGACGTGGGGCGGGAAGGAAGCGTCAGGCCATGTTCTCGAACGCGGACGCTGGAGCGGGGCGGTACAGGTCGGGATCGTCGGGGACTCACGTGACGGTGGCGCAGTACTCGCCCGTGGCGGTCACGTAGATGACGCGGTCGGGGCCCGGCGAGACGTAGTTGTCCGAGGTGCTGTAGTACGGGCCGTTGTCGACCAGGGGGAACTCGGAGTAGGGGCCGTTGGAGTTGCAGCACAGCTGGATGCCCTCGTCGGCGTACTGGTAGTACGAGTGCGGGTCTGCGATTGCGGTGCGGTGCGACAGGTGCACGATGCATACAGGAGATCGAGATCAGCGTCGGTGAGCAAGCGCCAGATGACACGCAAGCGGGGCGGGACGAGGGGCGGGCAAGGCGGCGCTGCTGCTTACAGTTGTCGGGGTAGTCTCCGATCGAGGCGTCGTACTGAGCGGCCTCGATGGCCGTCTGGAGGTCGTTGTAGGACCAGGTGTTGTAGCCGCACGAGATGCTCGAGGGAGGCGAGCAGGCCGAGGCGAGGCCAGCGGCGACGACGGCAACGAGCGAGAAGAAGACGGCCTTCATGGTGGCAAGAGGGATGCAGGAGGGAGTGGGGAGGGCAGAGGGAGCTCGGAGAGGAGAGGAGAGGAGAGGAGTGAAGAGAAGGAGCGTCTGAGGAATGGAGCATCTACCATGAGAAACGGCGAGGTCATCGCCATCTTTATACCTCCGCATCTGCCTTTCATCGTCGCTACAGTCAGATGTGAAGGGCGTCGTGGCGGCAAGGCGGCGCAACGAGTCGGCATGGAGCGTCAAGGGTAGAACAGGCAGGCAGAACAGCCGTGCCGCCTGTGGTGGGCGGGAACTTACGTTGATTCAAGCGACTAGCTGCGAGCTCGGATAGATGGTCAGGTGTGGAACAATGAGGAGCAGACGAGGAGGAGATCAGACGAGGAGGTAGGGGCCGAGCAGGGACACAGCAGCGGACGACGTCGGGGGATCGTGAGCCGCCGTCGAGAGCTTCGATATGCCGGCGGCTCGGACACGTGCGGTCGCCGCAGGTCGTCGACCAGAGCTCTGGAGCGCCTTGCTTGACGGCATGAGGCGGGGCGGGACCGGCTCACCTCTTCCGTCCGTGGAGAAGCAGGCAGGCAAGGTAGGGGAGGGACGTTGATTGCCATCTCGGCAGGCGCAGGCTCTCGCTTCGTCCAGGATCCACTGTACCTACCGTGAGAGGTTCGCTGAGCCAAGGCTTGCTTGCCTGAGCGGGCGATGGCAGCCCAGCCTCGAAGAAGGTTGGCTTGCTCGCCTCGTTCCGACTTCGGATAGACGTGTTGGCGCTGGTCAACGTCGTACACGAGTACACACGCCCACCGAGGTTGCATCGGCGCACAGGGATCCGTCTATCCATCCGCGGCCTCTCAGTCCCCACTTCGGCCGCCACGCCAACGATAGCGAGGCGTCGTGGGTAGTCTGCGCACGCACGTTGTACCCGTACCGACAAGCTTCAAGGTCTTCGGTCCATCGACGGCCGTATCGCTTTGGCGAGCCAGCAACGTGTCCTGGCAAGGCGGTGGGAGGGCGACTACGGGGGCCAGCACGTTGACCCGTCGACCATGAGGGTCGGATCGCACTCGGATCGCTTCCCGAGCGAGCCGGTCCACGGGAGCGGACGTCCCAGACCACGGCGAGACGGGGCCAGATCGACGAGCCACAGCTACGCGTGCCAGGCGAAGGGAAGGGGGTCAGTCAAGGCCCACGGACGGACCGACGGACGGAGGGACGGCCGGAGCTTTCTCGACGGCGGTCGGCGGCCATGCTGCTGGCGGCTTCTTCTTCTTTCGGAGCGAAACGCCCCGCAGCCTTCTCGAGTCGAGCTAGCTTCTTCGGCTCGGCCCGGCAGGACCGGCTGCCTGCTGTGGTGGGTGAGAAACGCGCCCGATCTTGGGGCTCTTCCCGTTCCTGGCCAGCAGCCAATTTTCCGGATGTCAAAAACCGGATCATCAACTGAATCTACGAAGCGGGCCTCTTTGAAAAGCGGTCTTAGAAAACTCAGCGGCGAAGAAGGAAAAGTTGGATTCTCTGGAAGCAGCCAGGCCATGCTGACACGATCAGCGAAGGGTCATCGCCTCATAAAAAGCGGCGATGCACAAAATGGCAATTTGGCACTCTTGCGGCAGAGAGGTCGGCTCTTTGGAAAGCTAGCATCCCTCTTTTCGATTGTCAAAAAGCAAAAGAATTTCTGGAGAGTCGCAAACACTCGAGCCTTTTAGCGTGTGTGAAGCCTTGCTGCCACCCGATGCTTCGCCCAGGCGCACAACTCGCCGGTTGAGCAGCAGCCTGGCCTGGCCTGGCCTGGCCTGGAAGGATGCAGCTTGACCCCTTCCAACCTCTCCGCTTCCCGGCCTCCCTCTCTCCCTGGCCATGGTGAGGGTCCCCATCCCTATCGGCTGGGCCCGACACCTCCCTCCCCCCTCGACAAGCTCCAAGGTCGGTGTCCGCGACAGGGTCAGCTCCATCCTCTTTAGCTTGATTCGACCGACGGTGCCGGGTTCAGCGGGTCTCGAACGAGGTTGCAGAGAGGCCAAGGTCAGTCGAGCCTGTGCGATCTCTCTTTGCGACTTGGACAAAGAGGCCCGGTCGAGGAGCGGCTGGCCGACGTCGTGTGGATGGCGGTACGGTGGCGTCGGTGGGTGTGCGAGGCGGCGGTGTCGAGAGGGCTGGGCGAGACCAACACCCGCGTCAAGAGGGGCCGCCAGACAGGTGGAGGCTAGCTGGTCTGGCTTGCTGGCAGGCTGCGGGTCACATGGCTTGGGCCTGGTTCAAGCCTGGCCTGGAGGCCTGGCCTGGCCTGGCTGGCTGGCTCGGGGCTCGGGGCTCGGAGGCAGCCTGACCGACGTCGGGCCTCGAGACAACAATCGACGTGCGTCATCCGACAGCCAGCCGACCCCCCGGCCAAGCCAGACGAACCCACCGGCGCAGACCCTAAAGGCTCAGGCCAAGCAGGCCAGGCCAGGCCAGATCAGGGCCCCCCACGACGACAAAAGGGCGGCCTGGTCGACCCTACCTGCTCGTCCATCCCCACCCGGCTCGTACCCATCCACCAACCACCACCACCGCCACCACCGCAAACCGGACCACTCGCATCTCAAGCTCAACCCTAACATACCAAAGCCACGCGCACGCCAACACCTCGTCAACCGAAGCCAAGCAAGTCCCCCCCCCCCCCTCCCCCCCCCTGCCACCGTCGCCATGGCCTGGAACGACGACCTGCTCCTCAAGGTGGCCAACGTGGTCACCTTCATCTTCTTCACCTCGGGCAACGCCTACAGCCACCTCGGCTCCGCTGCCACCCATGGCGCGGGCGCAAAGGAGACCTACCTCACCCCCGAGCAGTGGCTCTTTGGCGTGTGGGGCCTCATCCACCTCTGCTTCCTCGGCATGCTCTTCTACCAGTTCACCCAGCAGGGCTCCGACCACGTCCGCGCCATCGGCTGGAGGTTCCCCGCCCTCTGCGTCCTCAACTCGGCCTACTCGGCCCTCGTCACCGCCCACGGCGGAGACAGCCGCATCTACTCGATCCTCGCCTTTGTCGTCATGCTCCTCATCGCCGGCGTCGTCTCCCACTGCTACCGCTCCCTCAAGGTCCACCACGGCCGCTCCAACACGCTCGCAGACGTCGCCTTTATCCACCTCCCCTTTAGCCTCTACCACGGCCTCGTCGTAGTCCTCCTCTTCATCACCGGCTTCCAGGCCTTTGGCGTAAACGCCCACACCCACCACGCCGGCATCATCACCAAGATCCTCGTCTTCCTCGCCCTCCTCTTCCTCGAGAGCACCGCCGCCGGGTGAGTGGCCGCACGCGTCGTCGTCCAGCATCTGCTGCGGGACGAGCATCGCCCACGGCCCCGCAGACTGGCTGACTGACTGACTGACATGTCCCCATCTATTCCATCCCTCCCTCGACCGCAGCTACGTGTGGTACTCGGAGGGCGACGTGGCCGGTGCCCTCGTCATCTCCCTCGCGCTGCTGGCCATCTTCCAGCACCAGACGTCGAGCAAGTTCATCCACTGGTCCGCCCTCGTCTTCTTCATCATCTCGCTCATCGCCGTCCTGCGCGCCGTCATCTCGATCTTTACCTCGCGCAACCGCTCCGCCATCACCGACGAGGAGAGGGCTCCCCTGGTCGGATAAGCGGCCGCCACGCCGACGGAGCCAGCTAATGACGGTGCTCCTACCCCGCGGCCATCGAATGAAACAGCCAGCCAGCCGGCCAGCCAGCCAGCCAACCAGCCAACCAATCAACCAAGGCGGAGCGGAGCGGTCGCGTCTAGCCTCGATGCTCCCTGCCTCGCCGCGAGCCGCGAGCCACCCTTGCCTCCCTCGCTGGCGATGACGATGCGCCGGCCTCGCCGCGCATGCAATTGTTGATAGCCCCCATCCTGCTTCACAGCCCCACGCTTGCCATTGCGTCGATGCATCGATCGACGACGTTGGAATCCTATTGTGCCTCGTTCCAGCCTGCAGCCCATCGAACTGTGCCCGCTCGGTGGTCGTCGTCGGACCACGGTTACTCGAACACACACACGCAGACGAGAGACGTCGTTCGAGCGAGTCGAAAAGCAGACGGTATGGATTCGAACACCCCCCTTCGAACGCGCGCGACCTCACCTCCTTCCCCTGCCACCGCCGCGTCCGCCACCGCGTCCACCTCCCCTTCCACCTCCACGTCCTCCACCCCTGCCACCACCGCCCCCACCGCGCTTGGACGGGCGAGCATTCTTCTCCATCCTCTTGTTCTTCTCCTCTCTCTGCCTGTAGATGTCCTTTGCGCTGCGGATCTCGTCCCTCGCCCTCGACCCATCGTTGACCTTGCGCTTCTTCCACCCCACCTTCTTCCCATCTTCGCCATCGCGAGCATCGGCGCCAGATCGCTCCTTGAGCTTCTTGTGGTAGTTCTTGGCCAGCGGATCGAGCTTCTTGGGCGCCGTATACGAATTGTGCCGGTACCTCTGCTGTCCATCGGCCCCCCCACCACCCCCGGGTCCGGATCGAGAGGGTCCCGGTTGGAACGAGGAGCGGTCGCGCTCCATCTCGCCCACTTTGGGCATGTCGATCCGCTTCTCCTTTTTCCACTCCTCGAACCGACCGCTCCGGAAACTGGCGGGAAGGCGCAGCCCGCTCTCGGTGCGGATCATCTTTTTGTTGTCGGCGCCCACGCCGTCGCCCTGGATGAACTTCTTCTTCTTGGTGTCCCACCGCTGCGCATTCGGGCGCTGGATCTGGGTGCCAAACGTCGAATCGTCGCCCTCGACGTCGTACGCGGCCGAGCGCGCCTGCTGCAGGAACGACGTCGACGACGACGAGCCGCCGCCGCCGCCGTTGATGCTGTACCCCTTTTCCTGCTGCGAGTCCGGGTGGTGGTAGGACATGTAGAACGACGGGTCCTTGAACGACGTCGGCTTGGCCTTGCCCTTGGTCGTCGGCAGCGACTTGATCCGTCGTGCCGGAGCGGGCAGGTCGACGTCCGAGTCGGATCCGGCCGCCTCGTTGTCGTCGTCGTCCACGTCCTCGACATCCTCGTCATCGCCGCCGTCGACCTTGCCAGAGCCCCACTTGCGCGAAAAGAGCGCCTCGATCTCCTCCTCGCCGGCCTCTTCGAGCTCGAGCGCATCGCCGCGCTGCTCGTCGTCTGCGCCGTCGGCGGCTGCCCTCTTCTTGGACCGCCTCTTGACTTCCGCCGCCGCCTGCTCGTCTTCGCCACGCAGATCGCGCTTCCGCGCCTCGGCCGCGTCAATCTTCTTGGCCTTGTCGTCGAGCGTGCGTCGTCGGCTCTTCATGAGCTGCGACAGCGGCGTGCTTTCGCCCCTCGCGCCAATCTCAAAGATTGTCTCGCCCGGTCGGAACGAGTTGACTTTGGCCAGCAGGGCGGCGCGAGCCGCGGCCTCCGAGGCTTCCTTGGCCAGGTCGCGCCTCTTGGCAGCCGGCTTGGCCGCGGGGTCGCCGTCAGCGGCGCTGCTCGATCCGGTGATGGCCGCCACCGAGGCCATCCCGTTGGGAAGAGCGGCGGCCGCAGCGAGCGGCTTGAGACCGTACGCCGTCGGGCGCAGGATGACGTCGTGCACGGCAAGCTCCTCCATCGGCGTGCCGGCCAAGGCCCACTCGGGCACCTCGCCCGGCTGGAGCTTGACGTCGCCGGCCTTGACCATCTCCTTTGCGCGGCGGTAGCTCTCCTGGCTGGCCTTGGTGATGGAGCGCTCGTACTTGCCCTGAGCGCGCTCCGCGACCTGCTTGAGCTGCGGGAAGTCGACGGCGGTCGACGACGAGGTGAACGTCAGGCTGCTGGCGATGTACTCGGTCTCGGTATCGAGCTTCTCGCGCGGGATGGTGCCGAGCGTGAGGCGGTCGTGGAGGTCGATCGGCTCGGCGTCGGCGCCGCCGTCGCCAACCGCGGTGTGCGACGATACCAGGGGCCGCGCCAGGAAGAGCTGCAGGTCGCAGAGGTACGGCAGCTCGGCGTTGGTGCAGAGCGTGTAGGCAAAACCCTTGCGTCCGGCTCGCGCGGTTCGTCCGACACGGTGGACAAAGGTTCGCGGCTGCGGCGGGAAGTCGTAGTTGATGACGTGCTCCAGCACGGGCAGATCGATACCACGGGCCGCCACGTCGGTGACGATGAGCAGGCTCGTCTGCCCGCGGCGGAAGCGCGACATCTGGATGCCTCGCGTGGCCTGGTCGAGCGACGAGTAGATGTGCGAGCAGGCAAAGCCGGCAGTGGTGCAGAGGAGCAGCAGGTACTCGACGTGGTGCTTGGTGGCGGCAAAGACGATGGTCTGGTGCGGCAGCAGGTGGATGTTGCCCGCCTGCGAGGGTCGCTTGCGCTTCTTGCCGGCAAACTTCTTGTAGCCGCCCCGGTCGCCGGTCTGACCCTTCTTCCAGCCCTTCTTGCCGCCTTCCTCGTCGCCGGAGTCGGGTCCGGCGGCCAGCGCCTCGGCCTCCTCGTCGCGGTCGGCCTGCTCGCCGTAGGGCACTCCGATAACGTCGCGAAGAAGCACCAAGAGGGCGGCATCCTTTTCCGAGGGCTTGACGCTGAAGAAGGCCATGCGGAGCTCTGCGCTGATCTTGCTGTCGGCGTCGAGGCGGACCAGCTTGGGGTTGGCCTGGAGGCCTGCGCGGGCGAATTCGACGAGCTGCTTGGGCAGAGTGGCGCTGAACAGGAGCGTCTGGCGGGTGGGCGGCAGGCGGAGCAGCATCTCCTCGAGCTGCTCGGCGAAGCCCATCTCAAAGAGGCGATCGGCCTCATCGAAGACGACGTACTCGACCGCCTTGAGGTCGAGGTTCATCTCGACGGTGAGGTGGAGCAGACGGCCCGGGGTGGCAATGACAATGTCGGGGTTGTTGGCCATCAGGGCGAACTGCTCGTCCATGCCCTCTCCTCCGACGATCATGGCCCAGCGGATGGCCTCGCCGCGGGTGTCCTGGCCCTCGCCCGGGTCGCTTTTCCAGCCGCGCGCGAGCTCCTTGCCGACCTTGAGGATCTGGAGCGCCAGCTCTCGCGACGGGCAGAAGATGATCGACTTGATGCCAAACGAGCGCGAGTGGCGGCCGTTGAGGCGCTGGATGAGGGGGATGAGGTAGGCGAGCGTCTTTCCGGATCCGGTCCTGGCCATTCCGACGACGTCGCGCGGCGGCTGCGAGAGGATGGCGGGGATGGCCTGGCGCTGGATGGGGGTGGGCGTGGTGAAGCCGCGGAGGAGCAGGGAGCGGAGGAGCGAGGGGTGGAGACCCATGCTCTGGAAGCTACCACCGCCCGAGAGGACGCCGCTGGCCGTCTTGTTCTTGCCCTTGTTCTTGCCGCCCACGGCCTTCTTTGCCACTTCTGCGCCCGCCTTTACGTTCTGGGCCTGCATGACGGACGCGATGAAGGCGGCGTCGTTGTTGTGCTCGTCGTCGTCGATGGAGTCGATCATGGCGGGCCTTGCTGCCGACGAGGCGGCGCTGCCCTTGCCCTTGCCCTTGGCCTTGGCGGTCTTGCTTGGGATGGGCTCGGACGGGAGCAGGGAGGCGGTGATGTCGATGTCATCGTTGTCATCGTCGTCGTGGTGGCGGTTGGAGCTTCTGCGCCGAGAGGAGGCGCTGTGGTCGAGCTCGTCGTCGGACGCGAGGAAGTCTATCGTCGGCATGGTAGAGGACGGTGCCGTTCACGCCGGTACGGATGCCTGGTGGGTATTGGCAGCGTCGAGGCGGATGATGGTGGCGGCGGACGAGGTCGAGGTTGAGGCCGAGGCCGAGGCGGCGGTCGAGAGGACCAGCCCCAGAGGAAGAAGACTGGCCTGCCGCCCTCCGCCGTTCAAAAATTTCCTCTGGCCGCGGGCGGCCCTGGCCCCGAGCTGCTTGCCAGACGAAAATCCAGAGGAGAGGGAAAAAAGTTGCGAGGCGGCAGGTCAAGCGAGATTTCGGCATTCGGAAAACGCAAACGCACGCGCCGCAACGCCCGCAGGAGCAAGCCAGTGGGACAGGGTCCAGCCGGGGCGCGCCACCGCGTCCCACCGCAGGCCGGGCTCTCCACATTTGACTGGCCAGGCCTGCCAGGCTTGGGCCGCCGCCAACACAACACCTGCCTCACAGGGACAGCGCCAACACCATCATCGTCACCATTACCATCACCATCACCACCACCACCACCACCACCACCACTACCACCAGCGCCTGCCCTCCTTGCCATCTCATCCACCGCTGCCGTACCAAATTGCGCCGGGAAAGAGATGGGCCGCAGCTTCTCTACGCACCTGCTGCCTCGCCCGACATGACGGTGCAGCCCATCCTCATCGACTCGGATTCGGAGCATTCCGACGTCGAGCGGTGCCGCTTTGTCTCGTCGCAGGTGGGCCTCTCGGCGGTCTTCTGACCCCGTTCCGCCTCTTCGCGCCCTGTCTCTGACCTCGGCGCGCTCCGACGTGCCTCTTTCGCTCCCTTTGCTTCCCCGTCCCGCCGTTGTCGCAGCCTGCCCAGACAAAGGCGACATTCGACAACCTGCTGAGGTGCGCACGCGTTCGGTTCCCCTTCCGACGGTCCATCCGCAAATCCTCTACGCGGCTGGCTCACCCCCTGTCTCGCTTGTTTGCTTCCGGGGTTCTCTCTCCCTTCCCTCTTCTCACAGCTCGAGTCAAGACCGTGTCCGCGAGAGCTCTCCCGAGTCGTCGCTGCCCTCGTTTCACGAGCTCTTCCGCCGCACCACCACTGCGCGGCCCAATCCGAGGGGCACCTCGGTCAGCGGCACCTTCATCGACTCGACCGACGCGTCTCCCGCCCGCATCGCCGTGTCGAATCGCGCCGGCAGCCTCCGCCGCATCACGTCCCTGCCCACAAAGAGCCCCTCGCAGCAGAACAAGGCCACCACTGGCCACTATGCACCGCCCATCGAGATCATCGACCTGGGGTCCGACAGCATCCGCGCTTCGTCTGACCGCGGCGCCCACTCGGACGCAGAGCCCTCCAGCCCCATCCTCACGCAGTTCACGCTGAGCAGACCTGCCGCCAAGGGGCAATCGGGTACCGCTGGGGCCCGGGCGCGGTCCGAAGCGCTGCTGCGCGCCACCGCAGATGCGGAGCGGGCCGGCCCATCACGCGTCGCCCAACCCATCGTGCTCGGCTCCAGCCCAGAGCCTCCCCGACCCGCCGCAGCAACTCGTCCTAGCTCAGGCCGCAATGGTACCAGCAGCAAGAGTGGCGCAGCGGGCCAGAAGACGTTCCGTCTCGCGTCGTCGCCGCCGCCGAGCTCGCCCCTCGCCGAGCAAGCAGTCGACGCTCGGCCATCTGCAAAACCGCCACCCGCCAGGTCCTTGCCGGGCAGCCGCAGCGGCTCACTGCAGCGCAAGACCTCGCTCCTCGACGCTCTCGATGCGCTGCAGACGGTCCAGGAAGCGCTCGAGACCTCGGACGATGAACCAGGCGGAGCAAGCGGCAGCGGCGGTCGCACCACAGCGTCGCCGTCCGCCCGCAAGAGAACCAAAGCCCAGTCCAGCAGTCCGGTGAAGCAGCGCAAACGAACCAGACCGGGAGCCTCGGCCGCATCAGCGAGGCTCTTCTCGTCAGACACCGAACAGGATGCCACGACGGGCAAAGGCGCTGCCGCCGCCGCCGCCGCCGCCACCACCACCACCGTCGCCACTGCCCAAAAGGCAAAGGAGGCCGAAAGGGAGGCCAAGCGGCTCGAGCGCGAGTTCAAAAAGGCGGAACGCGAACGGGCCGCGGCCGAAAAGAAGCGGTGGGCCGAGGCCAACAAGCTGCGCAGGGGCAAGGGAGACACGATGAAGGAGCTCATCGTCGAAGTCGACCAGCGCCTCTGCCACGGCTCGCCGACCGAGGCCATCCTGCGGGCCTGCTACGATTCGATGAAGGAGCGCATGGAGAGGGACGGCGCGACGGTGACGACGATGCGACACGAGGCGGCGGCCGAGGTGCCTCCCATGATCACGTTCAAGCGCAAAGTCAGAGCACGCCTGGACCCGGTGCGGCGCAGCTGGGTGCCGCTCGACAGCGAAGTCATCGAATCGGAAAAGGTCGTCATCGTCGTGCTCGACGGCAAGCAGGTGGTCAACATGGTGGAGCAGTCGAGCCTGCTGGCGCGCATCCATGCGGTGCGGGACCGCCTGGCGTCAGGGTACCAGCTGTTCGTGCTGGTCCAGGGCATGCACAGGCATTTTTCCCGGCTCATCAACAGCGAGAACCGCGCCTATACCGCGCGCATCCGCAGCGCCCTCGCCTCCGAGACGGCTGCGGCTGCCAATGCGCCGCCGGCGGCCAGCACCGGCGTAGGCACCGATGGCGGCGGGTCGGCTGCAACGGCGGCATCGTCGTCGTCGTCATCATCATCGCGACGCACCGTGTCTGCGCCCGCCATCGCGGCGGCGTCGGCCGAGACGACGGCGGCGCTGCAGGACAAGGTCGAGATGGCGCTGATGCGGCTGCAGGTGTCGGAGCGCTGCTTTCTGGTGCACGCCAACGGCCTCGTCGATCTGGCGGAGTGGATCTGCACTCTGACGGGCGACATTTCGCTGCGGCCGTACAAGGTGGTGCGCAGCTCCTTTCTCAGCTTCTGCGCCGAGGGCGCCGTCAGCGGTGCGGGCGGCGGTGCACTTGGCGGGCCCGGGTCCGGAGGCAGGAACACGACGGGCCAGAACGAGGTCGAGACATACCGGCTGATGCTGATGCAGATCGTGAGTGCCTGCCTGCCGCCCGCGCGCCGCGTCTGAGCGTTGGCCTGAAGTTGCCGGTCCTAGAGCTGACGGACGACACGACCTCGCCCCCGCCTTCCCTCGCGCTCGTCCCCAACCTAGCCGCGCGTCACTTCGCACGTCTCGTCGTCGATCATGGCCGTCTACCCGACGCTGTCCTCGCTCTACCGCGCCTACGCGGCGTGCAAGACGCAGCACGAGATCGACACGCTCCTCTCCGACTGCCAGGTCGACACCAACGTCGACGGGACGCTACGGGCCGCCAACCGACGCGGCATCGGCGCTGGCCTGTCGAAACGCATCGCCGCCGTGCTCATGGGTCAGGATCCGTTGGCGCTCGTCGGTGGACTGGTCTGAAGCGGGCGGGCGGGCGCACTCCGTCCATCCTATCTATGCTGGATGAGATTCTGGGCTCCATATGGTGAGATCGAGGGGTGAGGAGGGGGTGACTTGATGCTCATCTACCACCCACCGCCACCGCTGCTGCCAGCTCCCCCCCCTCCATCCCTGCGGCCAGCCGCGCCGAGGGCGGCGCCAAACATGCTCTTGAACCTCCTCAGATCGCTCAGTGCCCTGCTCCCCGCCGCAGCCGCAATACCATCCTGCTGTTGTCCGCCGAGTCCGCCCTGTCCGCCGCCGCTTGCTGCGCCGTGCGGGGGCGTGTTTCGGCCCAGATCGCCGCCGCCGCCGCTGGCGAACAGACCGCTTCCCGATCGACCGAGGTGCAGGCTTCCCCTCGTCGGCGGCGTAGCGGTTCCGTCAAAGTGCACCGCGGCGAGGATGGACTGGGATGCCGAGCCGTCCATGTCCAGCCTGGTCAGCCACTCGGACTCGTCGCCACTCGCCACCGCCGCCGCCGCCGCTGCTTCTGCCGAACCTCCGCCTACATCGTCGGCATGGGAGGGCGTCGATGAGGAAGCAGGTCGATCGTCCTGGAGGAAGCGATCGAGGAGCTCGTTTGCCTCGACCTTGCGGAGTCCCTTGAGGTCGAGCACCTTTTGGAAGTTGGAATAGCTCCGATCCCCGACCAGGCGGCGGTACGTCTCGATGAGATCGACGGGCGGACCCGGTGCGACGACGCCCTGGTTGTCCTGGCTCGACGGCTCTGTTGCCGTCGTCGATGGTCTCGCCGAGCCCGAGGCGGTGCTGGTCGGAGCCATAATGATGCGGAGCAGCGTCTCGATGCGCCCCGTCGCCTTGGACACGTACCGCCGATACGACGCTGCGGCGGTCGACGTCGACGCCGCCGCACCGCCACCGGGAAGGCCCCACGCGTCGTCCGAAGGGTAGCGCGGGAGCGCCTCGAGTCGTTTGCGGATCTCGGCGAGGTCGACGGTGAGCTGCTCGGCGACGACGGGCGAAATCGGACGCAGCCGCACCACGACGTTGGTGAAGCGCCCCGTGACGACCGCCACGACCTTGTCGCACCAGCTGCGGACGAAGCGCTTGTTCTCAGTGTCCTGCCGCACCACGACGCCCACCTGCTCGAGCAGCGACGCCAGCTCGCCCACGTACGCCGAGGGAAGCCCGTTGCCGCCGCCGCCGCCACCACCGCTGCCGGCCTGGCGCAGCTGGTTCCAGGGCGTGCCGTTCGGAGGCTGCGGCCGCAGCATGGCGTTCCAGATGGGCTCGGAGCACAGCTCAAACTCCCTCGCCAGCGTCTGCACCGCGTGCGAGATGAGCGTGGTGAAGACGTCGCGCTCCTCTTCGAGGCTGACGCCGGCGCGGAAGTCGGCGTGGATCTTTTCCTTGATCTTGTCCTCGAGCTGGCTCGACGTCGAGGCGCAGTAGTCGGCCGTGTTGAGCACCAGGCACCACTTTTGCAGGTCGCCCAGGTTGGGCCGCACGTCGATCGACCGTCGCGCCGCCGGGCCGTCGTGGCGCACCAGGGCAGCGCGCAGCACGTCGTCGGCGTAGATCCGCAGCCACTTGCGGTACACGTTGTACAGTTCCTGGAACGGCTCGCGGTTGCTGAGCCGCGCGCACTGCTCGAGCGTCTGTCGGTAGAAGTAGAACATCTCGGTCGACGACGGCAGCACCGTGGCCGCATCGCCGCCCGCGCGGCCGGAGCTATCGCCGCCTCCACCCGGGGCGGTCGGGTCTCCGCCACCGGTGCTCGAAGGGCCGAACAGGCCGTCCGCTCCGAATCCGCCGCTGCGGCCGCCTCCGTCGGACGACAGCGAGGCGCCCTGGCGGCGGTAGGCCTGGAACATTTCCGCGAGGGTTCGGTCCTGGGCCTCGACGAACACGATGAGGTGCGGGTCAAAGACCGACGACAGCGTCTGGCCCTTGGCCTTTGGCTGCGTGGGCGACGGTGCGGGCTGCGAGCCAGAGGCGGCCGGGCCGCTGGCCTGCTTGGATGGCACGCCGGGCGGAGCGACGACGTCCTCGAATGGCGTGCCAAACTTGCGGCTCATGGCCACCTCAAAGTCGAGCGTGGCGTTGAGCGCCTCGAGCAGCGTGGCCACGTTGAGCCGGCCCTGCTCGCGGACCAGGACACTCTGCAGGTCCTCGGTCGTGATCTCGGCAAACTTGCGAACGAGCCACCGGTCGACATGCCACGCCTTGATGAAGGCGGGCGCGTGCTCGTCGTCGTGGGTCTTGAGCACCCTGCGGAACCAGGCGAAGCGGCGCGAGACGTTGTCGAGCTGGCCCGCCTCGTCGGTGGCACGGAAGATGCGGCGGTACTCGCGCAGCTGGAGGGCACAGTACCACTCGATCAGGGCGTTGCGGGCGTCGAGGCCGACGGCGTCGAGCACGAGGGCGGCGTCGGCAAGGCCCGTCTGCCGGACGGCGCGGCCTGGGTCGTGGAGGAAGAATTGCTCGTAGTCGTGCATGGCGGATGCGCGCAGCTGGGTCTGGAGGTCGTTTACCTGCTTCCAGGCCGCCGCGATGCGCTCGACGCCGCGGTAGCTCTGGAAGAAGTCGAGGAGCGCCTTTACAGCCTGGAGGGCCGAGGCGGCCTCGCGGTAGCGTTTGGTCTCGGTGAGGCGGTCGAGCTGATCGACGCCGTTGACGAGCATCTGGAGGCGTTTGAGGGCCGTCATGCTGGCGACGACGTTGCGCTTGGCCACGTCGAGGCTGCGGATGTCGCGGGTGATTTCCTTTACGACGTTTTCCGACTCCCTGGCCTTTTCGCGGATCAGGTTGAGCTGCCCGAGGAGGGCGGCGATGGCGGCCTGGACGTCGGCCATGCGGGCCGGGTCGGTCTCGTGCTCGAGATGGGCAGTGAGGCGGTCGATGTTGTGCTGGCATGACTGGATCTCGTGCCTGAGCTTTGCATGGACGAGGCTGAGGGAGCGGGCGGTGATGGGCTGGTGCTGCAGCAGGAGGTCGTCTAGCTGGGCTTCCAGCGGCTGCGGCTCGGTCCAGGCTGGGGGCTCCGCCGTTGACGCCGTCGCCGTCGCCGTCGTCGTCGTCGTCGTCATCGCGTCAGTGATCGACGTCGACTGTGTCGAAGACGGTGCTGGGGTAGCGACCGCGGCGGACGAGGCAGGGGCGGGAGGTATGCTGAGGACGCGGTGTATTTGAATGGCCAGGTCCCTGGGCAGCTCGACGTGCTGCGCCGACGAGGCAGCCGCCATTGTCGCAGTCGGTCGGCAGTGCAGGCCAGGTCAAGTGTGAAAGAGAGAAGAACCGACTGACAGCGAAGCTGAAGCGGAGACCGGACGAAGCGGAGCGAAGGATGATGGCGGTACGAAGACGGCGAGAAAGCAAGCCAAGCTGAGGAGAGCAGCGGATGGTGCCGACGCCCAAGGAGCCCTGGCCCTGCCCACGCGGCGGTTGCTTCCAGGGCCCTGCAAGACAGGCAGGCAGCGGGTGGCCCGTGGGCCAGCCTGGCTCCGAAACCCTTTTCCACCTCGGCCTGGCCCGACACCCTCTCTCTCTCTCTCTCTCTCTCTCTCTCTCTCTCTCTCTCTCTCTCTCTCTCTCTCTC